CTATTTTAAAGCTTGATTGAACAATTAGTAACAATCAAAAGCCTAACGTTTTCTTAAGGCAAACTCTCTCTATCTCGAACAATGGAGATAAGAGTGAAGCCTTCTTCACTCTTGTCAATATTTTTTTAGTCTTTAATCTTATTTTAAGACTTTCTAGTCTTCTTATCTTTAGCAATAGCCATTCTAATTAAATATTACATCATCTTTGAGTGATTTTTTTAGTTCTTTTGAGTAACACAAGAATGTATTGAAGATTTATTTTTTTGAGATTCATGACTTTAATAATATAATAAGAGTGCTAACTTATTATTCTTATCTTATTTTAGAAGTAAATATATTATTCCACTTTTATTTTTATATTTTAAAAATTATATATTATCTATCTTTAAATTAATTTTTTAATTTTTTAATAATAATTTTTTTCTTTAAAGAGAGTAAATTACCTCTCTTATAGAAATTTTCATTCAAATTAAAGGTTGTACATTATCTTTCTTTAATTTGATATTTGGATTTGTTAAATTATTTGAAATGGAAGAAAAAATCATAGATGCTACACTTGGTGGAAGTGATATTAGATTTATAACTATTGCAGATTTTTACAAACTTGTCAATACTCTTAGAATAGAAATTTCATGTATCACTAATATCAACCATGGAAATACTAATCCTACGCCTATTGAAGAAGTTCAAAATCCATGGCAAAAAGTTATGCAATTGAAGGAAGAAAGTAGACTAATATCACAATTAAATCCAGAAAATTTTACTTGTACAAGTACAATAGAGATACATATTAGTAAGCTTAATAAGTTTGATGGAATGAGATTAAAATTTCAAGGATTTTTGTAACAAGTCAAGCTCTATCTAAGGTTGTATTTCTTTCAATATCCTAATGGATTTACTCAAGTAGAATTCATATGTGCACTTATATTTAGAAGTGCTCTTTTTTTTATTTGCACCATTAATGAAAAATGATTTATAACTTCTTTATGATTTGAATTCATTTCTAAAAGTAATTATAGCTACATTTAGAAATAGTAATTGAAAAAAAATAGCAGAGACTAAGTTCTTATATTTATGACAAGAATTATAATCAGCTACCATATATATTGTTGAATTCTAAAATCTTACTTGCAATGTGGACCAGAATGACAAAGTCCTTATCAATCAATTTTAATATGGATTGAAAGATAACATTATTTTAACGATTTCTTATTGATAATGTTGAAAGTAGAATCTTTACAATAATTTATTGCTCAAGCCATTACATGTAATAATCAATTATTTGAAAGGCATGAAGAGCAAAGGCTTAATTGGAGAGGAACAAATTAAATAATATCAACAACTCCCGCAATTTCAAAAACTTATTCATCAAGGCCAGAACTAATGCAAATTGATATGATACATTTTAAAATCCTCACTCAACAAGAATAGATTCAACGTCTTTAAAAAGATTTGTGCTTATATTATGGAGAAGTTAAGCACACTATTCAACATTGTCCAAAAAAATAACGCAATCACAAAATGAGGAGTGTAATTTCTAAAAAAAATAATGTCTCAAAAAATAAGTTTTTTTAGATACAATAAGAATTGTGCAGCTAAAATCATGTGCAATACCTAATAAAGATCATATTCTCTTCTTAGATCCTTTGCTTTATTTTATAATAGATGTATCTTTAGGACCTAAAAATTATAAAGACTTTATATTATTAGATTCAAGAGCCTTAGCTTATTTTAGAAACAAAGACTTTGTCAAGAAACAAGAAATACCTTTAGTTAAGAAAAATAAATCCATACAAATAGAAGTCATAGATAGTCATTTGTTGTCTTTTGGAGACATTGTTGTGATATAGTACAACTAATGAATGAAAGAAAGAAGAAAAAATTATATTATAGAAGATCTTATTTTAAAATATTATAACAAATTATCTTTAAAATATAAATAATAGTAAAAAATATAGTAAAATTAAAAGGTGTTAATATTGTCTTTTTACAAAATAGGCTTCTATTTACTTTGTAGAGCCACAATTAAAGCAAAACAAAGTAGATTGAGAAATTAAATAACATAAGCATGTATAAGAAAAAATTAAGAGTAGATTTTAATAAAATTTATCTCAAAAAGCCAAGAATTAATACGTGGAGAGGATCAATTGTCAACTTGGATCAAAATCAGATCCTAAGGCCCAAAACCACACACCTATAGTGACTCTAAAATTCTTTAGAAGATTGAAGAGTAAAATTTGAGAGCAGACTTGACGATAGATTTTTGAGCATTATTTTTATATCAATTGAATTAAAATTGAGTTTTTGAAGGAGTTTCAAAGTTAATGATGTCTTAATTGGTTTAGATTTTGAGAAATAAAAAATATATTTATAAATTTGAGGATTTCTTGAGTTCTATGGTATAAATATAGGTAAAATTTGGATAATGTGTTGATGTGCTAGTTTTGAATGTGTGTACAAATTTTGAGTTCAATCAAACAATTAGATTGAGGTATGTGAAGGTTTTTGTGAGTTGAAGCTTCAAAAATTGGAGATTGAAGGTCAATGAGTATTTCTAAGATCTTTAGCAATTTGTCAATTGGATTGAAGTGAAATATTCATATAGATATTAGACCTGATTTTCAACATTTAGATGACATTTGGAAGTAATTCAATAATTCAAAAAGGAAATATTGGCATTGGAAGTTCAATGTTCAAGTTAGAGTAGGAGGTCATCTAATATCCAATTAGATTATCTTACATTTCTCTCAATCAGTAAGTGCGATTGATTTCATCTTTTTTATGCTTATTTTTAAATAAGTTATTAAGAAGTGTGGAAATTTTGAATTGATATCAAGAGTTCAATCATTAGTTATTGAAATTCCATTTTGCTATTAGAATTGTTACAAATTTATTTAAGATCCAAGGTTTGATTAGGATTTGGTTTCAGATTTGGTCTAGGATTTGCTTAGGATTTGGTTTAGAACTTGTCCAGGATTTGATTAAGATCCAATTAGGATTTTAATTAGGATTTGATCTACGATTGTACCTACAGTTTGGTTAAGATTCAATTAGGATTATATTAAATTTTTTATTTTTAGTATTTTAAAAAGATTCTTTATATTTCTTTTATAACTTTATTTAAATTTATTTTGGATTGATCAAAGTTTGATTAAGATTATTAAGGTCTACTTAAGGTTATTTAAGATCCTATTAAACTTGATAGGATTGTTTTTGCATTTCTACTTACCTTCTACATCTAGGTGCTTGGTGCATTCTCAAGCAAGAATATATGGAATACAACAATGCAATACAACCACTTTGGATGATTTATAAAATATTTTCATGTAGTATTAAAAACATGAATCACGAAAAATCAAAATATCAACTTATTCTTGGATCACATAAAAAAATTAGATAATCACCCAAAGATGGTATAATATTAAACTCAAATGGATATTTAGAAAGATAAAGAAATTATAAGCTCTTGAAATAAGTTTAAAAATAAAGAAATTATTAACAATAGTGAAGAAGGCTTCATTCTTATGTTCATATATTCTATCTAACTAAGAGCAACATGGCAATATTCTATAAGACCTCCAACTTATATCTAACTTGTAAGATACATGTATAATTTGTAAGACTAGTCACCTACATGTATACCACATAATCAACTTATACCACAAATCACTAACATGTCTGACACATGGCCAACTTATTGGCTAACTTTTTAATCTATTAATCACTTATAAATACATATAAAGTCAAATCCACATCTATGAAGCTACTCCACAAGCTATTATCAAATTTTATTACTTTAATTTACTTCTATTTTTTCTTTTAATCTAAATAAATATGTATGTCCATGATACATAGTTCTTTACTTAGATAATATATATGGAAGCAAGAATGAGGCATTCTTCACTCTTGTCAATATATTTCTTGTGTTCTTATCTTAGCTTAAGAATACCTAATCTTTTCATATTTTACAATAGATATTTTAGTTTTTATCTTATATTTATCTTTCATTTGTTTTTGTTTTTGTTTTTTTTTTTTTTTTTTTTGAGTGTTAAAAGCATGTATTGCTTCTTTAAATTTTTTTTATGATTTATGTTTGTAATCATAATCAAAATCTTTAATATATATATATATATATATATATATATATATATATTAAAAAAAATAAAAAATAAAAATAAAAATAAAAAATCTTAATAAAAAAAGATAAAAGTTTCTATATTTTTAGTATATTCTTATCAATTTATTAAGTATAAGAATTCAAAGAATATAAATAAATAATAAAATATGTTAATTAAAATGAGATAAGAAGAAAAAAATTAAAAAATATGTATATTTAAGAGGAAACTAGAATGGATAATGATAATAACAATAAGATCAAAGGCTCTTAAAACTCGACTAGAAATAAGAAAGACATTGACAAATGTGAAGAAGACTTCATTGATGCCTTTACATATACTATCTAATTAAAGAGATACATGACAACATCTTATAGACCACATGACACATGTCTAATTTGCAAGACTTGTGTTTAACTTGTAGAACAAGATTCCAAAATGTGTGTCATACATCCAACTTATAATACAAGGGGCAAATATGTGCAATGTGTGGCTAATTTTTTTCTTAAGTTTTTAATCTACCATTCACCTATAAACACTTGTAAAGTCATTGGTAAAACATTTACTTAAGTATCAGAGTGATGTACTTTCTTTATGACTCTTTAATAGTACCTTAATAATATGAATGTTTAACTATACTGATAACAATAAAAAGCTAATGAAATAAAATAAGCAGACAGTATAACTAAGACAATCAGAAGATAAGTTGAATTCAATCACTTATCAAAGCGAAGCAAATTGTTAAGAATTCAATGATTCCAGAGCAACTTTACGACACCGCATCCACATCAGCAAGCAATACATTGAAGCTGGAAAAGAACCCACATCAGAACAAGTGCGAACGATAATGAAGACACAAAACAACGCATCAAAAAATCAGAAATCTTGACACCACAAACTGGGAAAAGATGCTGAGTATTAACATTGCCGAATGAGGACATGAGAGTAAACACTGAATGCTCAGGGATCTTCCACGCTACAGTTTCTAAGACTGATCTAACAAGTTGTAGTTATGACTTGAAGCTTGATAAACAAGAGCTCATGTAAAAAAGATGTGGATCTCCCGAAACGTCTATAGCCGTTGCAAAGATTCTTACAGTTTCTTACTGTTTCTTAAGTCAGTCGGTAGATTGAACTTCTATTCCTGCATATTCCACAGCACCATTCTCGGTGTCGGCACTGGGCATTCATACAAACGCATTGCTGCTGGAGTGCTTGCGAAGGGGCTATGAACACCGGTAATGTTCAAGTTGGGACTGATGGAATTAGCAAAGTGGCCAGTGCACCCGGAGAAAGTGTGTTGCGTCGTGATGTCAGCAATGGAACCAGTGATGCCGTTCGGTGATGTGCTTGATTGCTCTCTGAGGCTGCTGTAGCTGACGTTCTCTTTTATGGATCTCTGCTGGTTGAAGCCGAGGTTGATCCACACATCTAATTCACCAGCTGTTGCATTTCGCCGCAGTTTTGACATATCTGATCCATGTAGGTAGGAAATAGTGGCTTGGTCTTCACCGAGACAGTTGTGAGGTTCCGAGTTGAAATGACTGAGTGGCAAATGCACAGCGGTACTCACTCGAGAGTTGAGAATGTCAGCGTCCTGTGGGAATGCGCTTGTGGAAGCCAACCATCGTGTGTAATCGACACTTTGTTGTTCCTCGGCGCTTTCTGAAGTATCATAAATTGGGGCACTTGGGTGGAATCCGTTGCTTGCATTCTCATACCTTGTGGTAGGGAAGACGAACTGCTCTGAGCTAGTACTTTGGAGCGACAACATCGGCAATTGGAAAGATGATGGAACACTATCGCCTGTTTCAGTTAAGTGAGCCATGATCGTTTCGGTCATCCGTGGTAAGGAAAGATATAAAGTTGGATCAGCAGAGCCTTCAACTACCGTGCCTGTCATGCATTGCAGTATATTACTTTGATAATGTTTCGCATCGGCGCCGTAGTAACTATTCTGATTGGACTGCTCCATGTCGATTGAAGAAAGCGGGCTTGTTGGGGATGGTGAAGGAGCCACCTCGGTGCTGCAGCTACTCTCGTCCATGTTGTACGAGCCGGAGTTAATGGAGCTTTTCTGGCTTTCATCACCAGAAGGGAGCTCTGATCTGGGTAGAGCGTCAGTGTCGTGTAGGTTGTGACGACGCAAATCATTTAGGGACTGGTAAGGCATGAATTTGAACGCAAGTGAATGATGAATGCTGCCGAATTCTCGACGAAACCTCCGTTTTGCTTCTTCTTCTACCTATGAAGATAAACCACCAGATTCAGCTAAAAATGCAACATGCAATGAAGGTATTCAAAACCGAGCAGTCGAAAGTGAACAGTCTTAAAGAGTGTCAGCGATAACGGTGACGACGATGTACCTGATTCCCTTGTCCAGTAGGGTGAGCCATTGTGCCAGCTAGTTCCTTGAGCACGTCCGCGATGCGCTTGTGTGTGACGGGATCAATGCCCATATCGCATAGCTTTTTCTTCAATCGTGTGTTCCAATGATTCTTGATGTCATTATCGGTTCTTCCTGGCATCTGCGCGGCGATGAGTGACCATCTGTAAAGTTGGTCACTTCTCGGTCAGTCTTCTCTAGTCTTACTTATCAGCGTAAAGCAATGAAGCATCAAACGAACTCAGATTCTCCATGAATTCAACCTGATCGATAAACCTTCGCCAGTTTATAAACGTCCACATTGTAGTTTTTTACCTCGTTCCAAGAGCACTGAAAAGTTCAGCTAAATTACCTGCTTCCATGAGCTTCATGTAGTTTGACGATGAGGTTTTCTTCCTCCGAAGAGAAACTACCATGTCGAATATCAGGTCGCAAATAGTTCGTCCAGCGCAGACGGCAGCTCTTCCCACATCTTTGCAGACCTGTATGAGAGCCAGTATGAGTGCGCGAGGTTGTAAACACTTCTGCTTTCTTTCAGTTTCATAATCGAATCTGAGTGTACACTAGATAAACTGGAATGCAGAAACTGCGAAAGGAAGGTCATGACAATGTGTACAGATATCATTAATTATTCCGTAGTTCTAAGGAATGAGACATTGCAATGGGTGAATGAAAGAAAACTGTCAGATGACTAAAAGTTGCAGTGCCGCAACACTTATTACTTCATCTTGAGCAGGATGTGATTTCCTGTGCTATCAAGTTGAAGCCAACTCCTAAAGCTAAACTCACGGGAACTTACTTATGAGCTGCGTCATACCTGCTAGCTTTCCAACACTGCGCCAGTGCCCAGTTCCATACGTCTCCACATGCTTTCGAAGTTTTTCATCCTCCTCCGCAGTCCATGCTCCTTTCCGAACATCTTCGTACGGTGTCGACAGCCTCGTCATCTTTGTCAACGACTTTCAATTTCTCTCGATACAGGATTTGCTGAGATCTGGTCTCACAGGGAAGATATTGTGAAGTTGCATAGGTGCGACGAGGCCACGATACTATTCTCTTGAGGCTTCCAAGCTGTGAGAAGTAACAGACACAGCGAAGGAGTCACTGTTAGACTGGCTAAGATGAACCGCAAATCGATGGTGATTGCTTTGGAGAAGCAAAAAAAAGTCTAGAAAGGAAAATGGGTTCTGGTAATCCGTGAATCAGCTCGATAAAGTGAGTCTAGTTCAAATGGCTATCTTCGAGAACATCAAACTGCAAGTTAAGTAGGGTTACAAAACTCAAAAACAACTTCAGGGAAAACTACCTGAGCTTTATTGATAAGTGTCAACGCACATCCATGACCACTGGATTCTAAGAATGAATCAAATTGGCGCGAGGCAACCAGTTACTAGGCACTCAGACCAACTTCCAAGATAATGCTTGATGAGGAGCCAGCGTTTACTGGAATACTCATAAATAAGACAGTTTACAGCCACCATTCGATCAACTTAATGGACACCAACCGCGGCGCGAGAAACTCGCGGGCCTCTCAACGGCGAAGTCTGGAGCTTTAGAATTCACCGAATGATATGCTTGCTTGAGCTCACAACAGCGTACAACACCAGCACTAGATAACGATCAGATTGGCATCTACGAACACATTGCCAACTATGAAGGGCTATATATCCCCCACAGCTTCCTAGCAAAGTTCTGACTGTCCTCCTTCGATTTGGTTCCTTCATGCACTCAGGGCTTTATGAATCCTCATGCCAGGGCCTCATGGGTAGGATCTGACGTTTGGAAGTGGGCAGCTCGGTAAACGAAAGGATTAATAAATAAAAATATATCACGGATGATTATTATTTTTACTCCTCTACACTCCTCTAAAAGACGAGAATCTTCGTTTCCCAACCGACCGGTAATTCGTATTCAGAAGTTGGGGTTCTATCAGTGTTCGAACTAACAGCATTTTTACAATAACTTCCGGATAAGTCAGAGAACCAAATAACTATATACATATATATATATATACACACACACACACACACACACACATATATATATATATATATATATATATCTGTAAATTGATTGTAAGCAGTATTCATCCTCAACCCACGAAGGCCTTCAATTCGGCTCCGATGCCCACTACGCAGTCACTGCAAGTGTGCCACTCCCCCAGGACCGCCACTCCCGCCACGTGACCTCGCCCGACTCCCACTTCCTCCCTCCATCTCATCAATGCAATGCACCCTCCCTCCTATGTATTCCCAGCCCTTGTAATTAAGAAATCAAAATCAAAATACTGGTATTCCAGTTTAGAAAAAACACCCTCAAGTTCCTCGCAAAGGTTACTAGAAACAACAGGCTCCCACGCCTCTTCTTCCTCTCTGGCCTTCCATCCCTGACCAAAACCTGGCCCAGTTCGCGTTCACATGTGCCAATCCCTGCAGCACTGGCCTTCATGGAAACTGTCTTTTCTTGCACCCACTTTGCATGGCACAAGTGAGAGCTTGCAGATATGAATTCAAGCCAAGTAGTGGTTCAGTGGGTTCATGGAGGTGAGGCCAACATGAAGGGGTTGAGGCCAGTCCATGTTATGTCTCCCCCACTAGATTAATAATCATGTGGCACACAAAGTGTAGAAAATTCACTGCATGATTCATCACAAAGTGTGCACAAGAATTGTGTAGTTTTTCATTGTGATGGTCACTGTTCACATGCAAGCATGTTGTGCTTGTTGATATGTGTCTTGAATTTATGCCCCTAATCCTCACTCTCTCTGCTTGCTTCGCTCTGGTTTTTAACAGCTTAGTGGGGTTCTAAGGGGGGCAGAGCTAGATTTTTAGCCTCCCATATTGGGGTGTGGGGGCAACACCCTTGTGTGTTATTTCAAGTTTAATTTAGAGCTAATTTAGAAAAAGCACTAGTGTTAGTAATAGATTTTTTTGGGTTTTGTCAAGACTTAATATGGACATTAGTGCTGCACAAAGGATGTACTCTCTAGTGAAATTGAATTCTTGTGTGCATTTTCTAGTGGACATAGCTTCAACTTTGAAATGAATCACTTACATTGTGTGTCTTCTTTTCTAATTGTATATATTCTTTGTATAAATATTTCTAATCCATTGCAATAGTCCTTGAATATACTAAGATTTTAGAAGTATGAGTAAAAAGTTGTTGATTTCTACATGGATTAGTGGCTAGTGAAACTAATGAATGTTGTAGATCATTAAACACTATTTATTTTATTTTATTTTATTAATATTTCAATGGATGAAGTAAAATATACATAAATCAATATTTATATAAAACATATGTAATACATTTTTTTGTATTTAAATCAAATTGGTAAAGATTTAGAAATAATATGAAGTGCAAATGTGAATGATTGAATAAAAAGAACTTAATAAATTGAGTTTTTATAATAAGAAATCAATTTTGTAAAAAAATATTGTGACAATAAGTTATTTTTACAATTGTTAAAAGGTATATAAAATTTTAAAAACATCATGGTTTTTTTATTTAATTAAAATATCATTAGAAGCACCAAATGATATTTAAGGATTGTATTATAAAAAAATTATATCAATCAATAAGATCTTACATTTTAACACTATTTAAGGCAAGTTTTATAACAAATATTAGTTCTTAAACTTATTCCAGGATTAGGAAGTGCTTCTAAAAGCAATTTTATAGTCTAATTCAAAAATTTGGCCAAGAATTTGATCTTATAAGTTTAATTTTTTTTGTCTTAATCTAAAAATGTCAATTACAATGTTATCCATAAATAACTATATGAATAAAAACTCTTAAAGGTTATATTAAAGATTCTAAATTGATATACTTAAAATAAATTTTTAATGATGTTGAAAAAATAATTTAACAATTAAAATTTTAATCTAAATCTAATCATTTAGTTTTTGAATCATTATTATAGTAAAGTCAAAGTAAATATGATAGACTACAAAGTAATGATGATTTTGCATGATTTCAGACATATATAGAATTTCTTTTTATTGTTGATTCTTTTGACCTATATTTTAAGCTACTATTATTTGGAATAAACCTTAAATAAAAACTAATTAAAATATAAAGCTTTTGGTACTTCTAATAGACTAAAAAAAATAATTACAAATTAGCATATTAAGCTGGTAGTGTAAATAAGTTTTAAAATAATTTTTATTAGAATTTGGAAATATTTGAGTAAATTTACATCAAATTTTATTATAATATATTTTGGATAGTTTTATACATTCTAAATAAATACTAAAATATAATTGAAAAATAATAAGGATTTTATTGATGATGCTTCTCTACCAATTTAATAAAGTAAGAAGAACATGCAGAACTTAAAAAATATTCAATATTTTATTTATGATAATTTATCCACCAATTTTATAAAGCAAGAACAGATAGAACTAAAATAAACCAACAAAAAAGATATATATATATATATATATATATATATATATATTATTAAAAATATTAAAAAAAAATCTTCTAAATATATTTTTGCTATCTAAAAATTAAAATGAATTAGAAAAAATCAGTTTAAATATAATTATTTACAATTATGTGTACTTTTTTTAACAATCTTAGTTTCAAAAATTAAAATATTTTTACATTTTTTGAAGAATAAAATTTTATTGTTTACATGTTTTATTAGAGTTTTTTTTTTTTTTTTTTTTTTTTTTAATTGTTCTTTCTTTAGATATTGATTAATTTGTATTAAGTCATGGTTTGTTTGAAAGTGAACATCCTTGATTTGTTCTTTGACCATATGTGTAAATATACATATCTTTAAACACATATGGAATTGATCTAAATCTACTAAATTATTTCAGTATGACTTCACTGGGCTCTTTGTAATTCTAAACCTAGTTTGAAATGCATTTAGAATTTCGATATTTGGTGAACCACTTTGAACATGGTTTGCTAATTCCAATCACTAGCTCATCCTATACACAAAAAGATCTTATTCTAGTGTTGCGGAGGTGACAAAGAGGGACTCCATGTGTCTAACAGGTGTGGCAGTAGGCACTCTTCAACACAAGAAGACATTCATGACTCGTAGTATTGAATGAGCCTGACGGCGTAGTATTAACACCCACAACAATGGCTGAGTAGGGAAGAATACGATCACGCTCTCCTAATTAATTGCCAGTACACAAATGATTTGCCACTAAATCTCACTAGAAAAGAGCTGAATTATAAGCGAAATCCGGCGTGAAGTGGCCGATTTCTACAGCTGACGGCGTGAGCACTCTGCAGCCAGTTCCCCTTTGAAAGCTATACCCCCCCCCCTCCCCCCCCTTTTTCCTTGCACTGAATCTCATCAGTTTCAGTGCAAGCAAGTCATGTGAAATGCTGTGGCAGTGGCGGCAAGGAGATAGAGAGAAAAGAGAGAGAGAGGCGATGATGATTGTAAAGCAGTCTGATCTTCTGCAAATCAAACCCCCGGCACGTATGAGCAATACAAGCAGTTAATGCGGGGTTCTCTCCCTACTTCGTGTTTTCATATATAAATAATGATATTATAATAAGAATTCGGAGAGGATAGGGGAGGGGAGGGGAGGGGAAAACCCAGGTGGATGCTGCACAGATCTGTCAGTCGACGTGTGGAGGTGCTCTCCGCAAGGGGGGAGATCGACGCAACCGATGTGCAGAACCACTTCCTGGGGTGAGGACTTGCTTCGTCATCATCATCATCATCCTCCTCCTGCTCCTCACCCGCTTTCACTTTGACAGCCCCCATCTGAGAGTCGCACGAGTTTGGCCTTGTAGCGGGTACCGTCACAAGCGTAACCTGATTCACGTCTCGATTGTGTATCCTGTCGAAAAGGTGCAGTGCCCCGCTGACAACGCGCTTTCTTTCGCGCAGGGAAGGGAGTTGCAGGCCCCGCGTTGACATCGCAGACAGTTTCGGATGGTACTGGAGGGCGATGGGTGGAGAGGCGGTGACGCGAATCCGCAGCCACGCGAGAGATCGCGGTCTGTGAGTGGCTGGAGGCACCGAGCATTGAATGCGAGGTTGGGGAGCTTCATGCGCACTACAGCTCCACTTGAAATGAGACCAGGGGGCGTTGGGGAAGCCATCTGATCATCACGATTGTGGAACGACATATGGTTGCGAGCCCTACCCCCTCCCCTGCTCTCATGAAATAGCGCATGCCTCCAATCACCCTCCTAGTACGTTGGGATCATGCGCTTGTCGCCACACACGGCCAACCGATACAGACAAACCCATTGCTTCGATCGGCGAGAAGCGCCCCTGCAATCATCTGGACTCATGCAGCACCTCGCCTTTGATGTCGACACGTGAGCCGCAGCACCACGACACCGACGGTGCTATTGTCTCTGTGTATGCGCGCTTGCTCAGATCCTGATCGTTATCAATGCAGCTTCTTCTTCTTCTTCTTCTTCTTCTTCTTCTGCCTCTTCTGCGATCAGTAGAATTGAACCTACACTGTGTTGCATCCAGAGTTCTCACCGATGATGCCTCTCCTCCTGTGCTTCGCTGTGTGACTCTTTCCTTGACTGATCAGACAACGATCGATGAGCCACCGCTATCTTAACAATCGCCAAACTGGGAACTTTCAACATGACACGACTGTGTGTGTGTGTGTGTGAGCTTTGGGTTATTATGCTTTTGATCTTCTACTTCTTCTTCAACATTTTGATGATAAATTAAGGATTAAGACAGGCTTGCATTGCGGGTTATCTGTTGCAAGTTCTGTCGCACACAACAACTGTTGAGGTGAAAGTTTGAAGGTTTTAACTCAATACTAATCACTTCATTACCTCTATCGTAGCATCCAGCAAAGGTTCGGGATTTCATCACTAAGATTTGAAGGTCATCATCAAAATGCATTAATCATATACTTAATCTTAAATCAGAATCAAAATTAAGTATATGATTAATGCATTTTGCATTAACAGTGACTGGTGTGTTTCAAGTCCTTGCAACTTCATATATATATATATATATATTAGAAAAAAACTTCCTTGCTGCATTGAAAAATAATTCATGTGAATGTTAATTAATATTTTTCTTTGCTAAGAATACGTTTCCTTTTAATAGAAGGTAATAATCTTCTTAAAAAAACTAAAATAAAACCTTGAGTCATGAGAGGGTTTGACTATGTCTTTTGTTTAGTTCTATATTATTTTCTCTTTTATATAAAATTCTCCTATTCTTACCATATTTGTATGTGTGTAAATATATGTGAAATACTCCCCTTTATAATTATATATAAAAGAAAATACAAAATTAACTCACCTAAATCTCAAATCAACTTCTCTTATTTCCACAATTCAATTTTTGCAACTATTCCTCCAATATGAGAATAAGAAAACATGTGAATCCACTGGACAAACCCAACATCCTCCTTGGGAAGAGGGGGGAGAAGGGATTTGGGATCTCACTTGCATTGCCTTGTATTGATTCTCTAAATTGAGAAAGAATTTGATTTTCTATTTTATAAACATATATATATATATATATATATATATGTATAATTAATTACAAAACACATTTGAGAATATCTTCTAATTTTGTAAAAGTCTAATGCAAAAATAAATTGTAATCTTTTTGAAATTTAGAATCCAAGATAACATTTGTATTTAAGACATAGAAAGAATAACTTTGCCACTTGGTGTAATAAACACAGTATCTTGCTTTGCTCACACTTACTAAAATTATAAAATTCTACTTGGTTTAAATATTAATCATTCACATTATTTACACATTTTTTTTTTTTTTTTTTTTTTACCAAAATTATAATAATATAGTTTTGAAAACACAAGTATATATATATATATATATGAATTTCTATACTAAAATATTTTATTGATTAATTTTTTTATTGTTTTTTTGTAATGATTAGAACTGTTTTAAAATCTTGATGTATAATTTTTTTACCATCAATAATTATTAGGTAATATATGATATGACATTGGCTCCAATGATTGCATTTGAATTGTGGTGTTCAAACTATTATGTGAATTTCACATTTCAATCAAACACAAAGTTACTGTAAATTTCATTTATACAATGATGTTGATTCACAAAAAGATTTAATTTCTTTTTATAGCCACTTTAATTTTTATTGAAACAAATGAGGTCAGTTTTGGTAACAAAGTAATTTTTTTTATAATCAATGAAACTTTGCAAATGGAAATGAGTTCATACTATTTGATTACTTTGATTTAGTTTTCTTGTTTATTCATTTCTGCCTTTGTTTAGTTAGATCACCCAAAAAATATTTATGAGTAGCTTTTTAAACTTCAACATATGAATAAATATAAAATGATCATAAGTCACTTGTATAACCCACATTTTTAGTTTTAATCTTATTTAAAATGGATGTAAAATATATCTGAGAAATAGTTCTCAAAACTGTTCGATAAATAATTCTCACAACAATTGGTCACAAATTCTCATTGTGTTGCAGATCACTGGATTAAAATGAAAAAAAAGACAGAAGCCTATACTTAGTATTATAACTTGACGACAATCATTCAACCAATACCTCATTTAATTAATACAACTCATCATTCACATTACTTCTTATGCGAATGAAATACAGACTACTAATCGTATATGATCACCACATTTATAATTTATCTTTCAACCACACAACGAAAGATGGTGCTTTCACAGCCAAAAGAAAACTAGTTAGAGTTCATAAAAAATGCTTCCAAAGCAAGAAACTGATCAGACGAAAGACACGAGAAGCAATTTCATAAGTTTCTAGCACAACTAATCAGAATGAAAGACAACAAGTTTGTTGGTAGATTGCGGAGAGGAGAGTACAAAAGAGACAAGCACCGAAACCTTCAAGCAAGCCATCAGTTTCCACTTTTGCATTTGCATTTGCGTTAACTGTGAAAGAATCCACAAGTTTCATGTGCAAAACAGGCAGAGCAATGGACCGAATTGGTGGGAACCAGTGGGTGCAAATAGGTGCAGCTTGTATAATCCTCACTGGTTTTGATTGTCACTGAGGAGGTGCAGCGCAGCATGAGAACGTGAAGCTGATTGCGGAAGACTGTGTGTGTGTGTGTGTGTGGTCTGATTGAGGCTAAATCCGAAACATAGTCGGCGATTTGAAGTTGTGAGCGGTGTCGTCAAAATCAGCCGCGAGTTCTGGACCAAAGGTTCTTCATCTCCCTCTTGCCTTTGTTCACAACGCGCCTCAGATGACTGGTGGCGATCCTGGATTCCATGGTGTCCTCCTCCGTCTGCAGTCGACCAATTTCCTCCGCACTTAAATCTGGCAGCTGCTTGCACCGATGAAGCAGCCGTCTAGCCGTCCGGCGAGTGTACTGCCAGCAGTTTTGGTCTCGGAGAGAGTAATCCGGGCTGTGGTCTGCTAGAATGGCGAGAATGTCTTGAAACCCTATTTCCTTGTCACCGCAGCGAATTGTGAAGAGACGGATGCTTTCCTCGGTTTCTTTGAACTTGGGGTCCACTGTGAGAATGATCCCAGCCTGGTGTGGAGGGTGGCCAGACTTCTCGGCTCGTATGAAAAGAGTCTCGCCACAGTCACGGCCACAGCGTAATTCCAGCACGAGATAGTCATGGTTGAGGACGGACGCCACCGCTAATGCCTCGCCGAGAGCGCTGACTCCCGACCCGGGTACCACTTTGTGCGGATTGTGAAACCCGTTTACGAACGACAGACCTGAGTTTCACCGGAAAAAAGGGGAAAAAAGGGAAAAAAAAAGAAAAAAGAAAAAAGAAACACACACACACACACACACACAATAACATCAGGTGACCGTCTACGACGAATTCGATAGCCGCGGCATGGCCACGCGCACAGCATTGCAGGCTCTCGACTCTACTCGGAACAATTGGAACGAACACGAGAAGAAGAGACGACGGACCTGACTGGCAGTAGTGTATGTGTTCCAGAACGGTGCGCTGCTTGCAAATCTTCTCGAATTTGGCGGCTCCGAGGCTCTCCTCGACACGGTTGCGAATCACTCCGTCGATGAGCTGCCTGGAGCTGTGCTGGTACTCTCCGAGAGTTGTAACCCCGGTCATGTCGAGGATGTCGAGACCTCTTCGGGCAAGGGAGCGGCCGAACCCATCCAGCACGGACTTCCCCGATCGCTTGTGCCACTCAATTTCAGAAGCCATGGCGATCCGGGGCACCTTGTCTACTCTTCCACCATGCTATCACCCGTGCGCTTCCAGAGATCCTCTCCCCCTCTCTTACTGTGCCGATTGTTCCTTCCGTCCGTCCCTAGCAAATCGGCGCATGGCGACAGCGGGGGCTGGTGAAGAAGACGAAGAAGAAGAAGATACAGAGCAGGAGGAATCCTGAGATGCGAAGAGGCTCGGGCGCTGTGATTCCATAGCTTCCTCTTGGTTGCGTCAATTGGGTTCCATGGCCTGGCCCCATCTGCCCGGTTGATCGCGAAACTGCCGTAAATCGAGCTGATCTTCGACATTCACAACCGCCACAACCACGCCGGCATCGACGATGACGACCACCGGTATAACAGGTCGAGCCGATCGAGCAGGTGGTGTTGCTTGATTGGACCTCCCCGTAAAGCTCCACGCCCATCGTCCATTCGCTCTCATTCTTTTCATTAAAAACTATTGTGATGTGATTTTGGTGGGAAGTTCGAGAATTGCTTTTTCTCATGCTAGTGTCCTACAATATTCTTTTGGTGCAGGTTTCAATGTGATGAGGATTTAGCGGTGTCTTTACTATACATTACATTGATCTTGCAAATATATATGTACACACATGATATTGTTGAAATAAACTTATAGAGGTTATGGTTTAAGAAATAAAAGTATAGAATAAGAATAGTTTACCAAATTGATTGGCAATTAGTGTTTTTTAAAAACATTGATGAAGTTTGTTTATGAGTAGTTTAATGCAATAGTTTTTGAATTTTCTTTTCATTCAATTGAGTTGTTTTCAGGGAAACTTAATCCAATTGTAAAAGATTTGACAAGTTTTTCAGTTTTGGTATTGTAAGTAAACTATGACTTCAAAAAACTAATAAACATAGATAAAATTTTAAAAAGATATTTAAAATGTAATTTTATCTTATTTTTAAAATATGTCTTATTTTTAAAATATGTGTTATTTATAATTGATTTAGAATTCTAATTAAATTGAATTACAAAACTCAATCACAACAACTAAAGATTACTTAAAGATTTACTTGCATCAGAATTTAAGTTAAATTCTCTCTTAGAATTGTTTTTAGAGTTATTATTGTTATTATACCACAATCATTTAATAATCTTTTTTTAATCTTACACAGATTAGTAGGAACATTTACTAATAAATGTACAATTTCAGAAATTATTATATTTTCTCTGTTGTGTAAATCATTGTAATATAAAATTATAAAAATAAATTATAAAAATAATAAGTTTTGCCTTTCTATACATGTAAGCTTACAAATATTTAATAAATTTATAACCAATGCATTAAAAATTAGTCCTTCTAATAAATAACTATAAATATAACTATATAGATGTATATAGTTATATATATACATATATATATATATATATATATATATATCTATGTTTATTTTGTTTTTAGAGTGTTGAATTGTTTTCTGAAATTCACAAACATACACATAAGCATACATTTATTTATCTTCACATGAAAATAATTTATAATAGAATTTTTACAAAAAAAATAAATATTTGGAGTTTATGGATCTACTCCAAAATTGGGAACACTTATGAATATTATACATAAATTATATATTAAAGGTTCTACCTCACTTATTATTTTCTTGATGTTAGAGGTCAAAAATACAAGAAAAATTCTGATCTGAATGATTTGACTACATTTTCTTAAGTAGAAATTGGCTATAAAGAGAAGACCTAATAGTAAGGTTGGTCCATTATAACCACAAGGTTTATAGGTCATATTGGGCTGCAATGCAGGAGTAATGAAATATTAATTGTTTAATTTGAGATTCAAGTTCTATTATGTTGAGACATGTGGTTTTCCACTCTCTCCCTTTCCCTTACTTTAGCCCATTCTCCTCTAAGGATAACTTTCCTTTGGACTACTCTCATTACTGTTTGACTGTAAGCTACCAAATTCAACAAAGAAATGTTGAAAATTTTGGACCTAACCAAAATCTCTATTCAAGTAAATATTCAATTCTCATAATAAACCTCTCTTGTGCCTAGTCCACAGATTAATTCTAGGTCATGGATTAAAAAGCCAAAAGTTTCAAGTATTAAATAATGTCCACTTCTACAAAGTATTTCACAAACCTTGTGTCATTCAAAAGCATTCACTACACACATATAACTTTTGCCCAAAAGGTTGAAGGGGTGAAATTAATACAACACACATTGAGTGGTTCATACTTCCACATGAAGTGGCACCCACCCGCCTCATCCTCCACAACCATTTTCTGCTCCAGGTTTTCCACAACTGGGTCTTCCAGCTCAGTAAAAAGAAAATCACGAAGATGACAGTGTAGCCTCTCATATATCATCCAGAGATGGCCTCAGTTTGGTTATGTTGTGATCTTCTATTGTAATTGCCACCAGTCTGATTAACAGAATCAAATCCATGACAGAGTTTCTATAACGATTGCAACTATGTTTGTAGGCATTGTCACATACAGCATCAAAGGTACCATCAGCGTCTTTGTAGAGATATAAAGTTGTTCAATACGTTGAAGGTGAGGATTGTTCAATACTTTGTATGAAGGATTACATGAATCCGCAAGAATTCTAGTTTATAAAAATCTGGCAAAGCAGGGAGCAGGAAGGGAATAAGAGGCGATCACATGAGCTGGTGTGAAGACCTAAAACAGAAGCAGAGGCAAGTGGTGTCGAGACAGCGTCGGTAGCTTGAGCAGAACCATAATGCAGCTCTGACACCTTTCATGACTCTGGGTTGGACACCTTCTACAACTCATTGTGCGAATTGGAACAGCAAGCCAGATTGAAAATGAATACCTACACCACCTACAATGAATTGTTTAGAACAAAACTTTCTTCTTCTTCTCTAGCAGAGGTGGGTCGACGTCGATTCCCATGTTGGCTGCTGTTCCGGCCACGATTCTCATGGCAGACTCGATTGTTGTGCAGTTCAAGTCTGGCAGCTTCTCTTGAGCGATCGTCCTGAGCTGATCGATGGTAACCTTGCCAACCTTAATTTTCTGAGGGTCAGTTGATCCCTTCTCAGCACCTACACATCGATGATGCGATTATTACTTGCAGGCTGAAATCAAGGCCAACTAAGAATGTAGACTATTCCGCGGAAACTGATAAGCACTGACACCTCGACCTCTGCTTCCTTAAAAAGGGCATTCATACATATACCATGGGTATAGATAACCAGGATGATTTCTAGAGGGAAACAATCACGACTCAAAGGAATTTCGATATAGGGCTCAAAAGATAAAAAGGCCTCTCGTGAGTCGGCAAATATCATTTAGAAAAAGAAAAAGAAAAAGGAATTCAAATTAAATGTTTTTCTAGATTTATCATTCAGCATGTAGATGCAAAAAGAGATACTTCCATTTGACTGCCCATTCTAAGGCTGTGTCAGCAAAGCAATGGGAACACACACTTAAACTTGTAGGTTTTATTTTGATGGTAGATAACCAATGAACTCCAATGGCTTATTTCGACACTTGTGTCTAACTGTATACAATGATATATATAGATTCGAAGAGAATACAACAAGAGGTATAATACAGAGGAAAAAAATTAGGAGTTGACACCATTATCCACAGCAGTAAAGCGTTGCAGAGCATGTAGCATGAAGCCAGAGAGGGCCTACCTGCTGCTTTCAGGAGAAGAACAGAAGCCGGGGGTGTCTTCAAAATGAAAGTAAAACTCCTGTCCTGCAAAACATGATTGCAAAAGAAACTCCAATAAACCACACTTGTGTCTGTAGCAGGCATAGGATTCTCATTGGTTCGGCGAGTGACAAGTGAAAGCCCAACGAGCAGTTCTTCAACTGTATCTCCACGTGAAAAAAACACAAATGAACAAATAAAATAGCATTCGAATCCAACCATGGACTAATGGGAATCACCCGAACTTATCAAGACACGATGAGAAGGTAGAGTCTCTTACATCATAAACTGTAATTTCGACGGGAATAATGTAGCCGGGCTTGTCTGCAGTCTTCGCATTGTACTCCTTGCAGAATGCCATAATGTTAACTCCCTTGGAACCAAGAGCCGGACCTACGGGTGGTGCAGGAGTGGCCTTTCCAGCCTCCAAGGCCAGCTTCACAAGTCCAACCACTGCAATCCCCACAAACGCCCAACTCCATCAATCTCCCAATAAAACCACAAGACCCACCCAGCCACCGCATTAACCAGAAACTAAACGCGAATTCAACCTACCCGTGACCTAGTTTTTCACAATTTACCGCATTCTCAATGCTAACAGTCCTCAACCACGGAATCAGCCCGAATACCTTTCTTAGCCTTCCCAGCAGGCTTGGGTGGCGCCATAGAGACGACCTGGAGTGACTTGCGCACAGGAATTGAGACGCCGCGCATCTCCACAGCCCTGAATGCGCCATTGTTGATCCCACACGACGAAGAAGAAAGCCCGGCTGTGTGACCCACGAAAGACCTCCTCTCAGTGTCCAGCCTAGTTGTGCCTGCGAATGCAGCTCTGCAAGTGGTCGCCATGATGCTACACAGCTGCAATGGCTCCCCCACAACCAACGCGATGGGAATCCGAGAGGCAGAGCTCGGAGTTGAGCTGCAACTGGAGAGAAGTCTACGGTGAATGGTCCGGGAGCACTTCATGAAGAGCAGAGCTTGTTGGATAAGGCAAGCTCAACAATAGGGGATGATGTTCTGTGCACCTCTTCCGGATATGATCCCGGTTCTCAATAGAAACTCCCTCTGCGAAATCCCAAACTACTAATTCACGTCATCCTGTTATCCGGATATAATCAGTATATTGAATGGATATCAATAAAGGCTCTTTCAGTCCCCCCCCCCCGTCTGCACGGAGCTGAAGAAGGCTTATCAAGTTAGGTTTCCTTCGGAGTTGCGGGCCAATTTCGAGCTCCGTTGCTAAGAATTTTTGTTTATTGCACTGAATTGTTGGAGAGCGATTTCCACTGTCGTAGTACAGTATAGCACCATGGTGAGTTGTTGCGATCCTCTACTTAAGGGGCTTTCCATGAGATCTACAGGATGGGAGTCTAAGCAACTGGCGAGCACTTTGATTCCGTCACTCACTCCTGGATTTTCATCTTCGTCGCTTCGTGGTGTGAGCAATCGGGTTACTATGGCTATGGAGATGCGGAGAATTTTTGCAAGGTCCCTGCGCGGGGCCTCGCACGTTGTCGTTGCCGCTATGGCGACCTCGAAGCCCGCTGAGAATGGTAGGATGGGTTTATGTTTGTTTGATTCCGTTTTGAGGTGGTATACGGATCGTTTTTTTTTAAAAAAGTTCTTTACCCGCGGTGGATCTTCTCTGTTTCTGGAGTAGCTCAATTTAGTGCTGGCACTGATAATTGTGTTGATTTTGTTTTATTTTGCATTAAATTTGAATATGAGGAAACTGAGATCGAGGTAGGAGTTGAGGTGCTCTTGGTGCTTGAGTTGGTGTAGTCCAGTCAACTTGTATGAAATTTGAAAGAGTTGGATGGGTTGTTGGAACGGGACTTTGCATCACAAGGCAAGGCTTCACTGCGGACATATGGAGTGGAAGAATAAGACGAGGGAAAGAGAACAAGCAGGGTGTTGGGCCAATTAGAGCTATGGGGGATGAGACAATGTGGATCACCGCTTCCAGTGCAGTTGCTCTGGTAGTAGCCCTCGCAGCTTTCGCTGCTCTCGGAGGGTACTTGCTTTCGATGGGTGTGGACAACGAAGAGCGTGGTGAAGTGAGAGATCTATCAAAACAGTCGCCCTCTATTTGATTCTAGTTTGTTATAGTTCATGTGGTCTCCCGCTTGAGTACTCTTTGATCTGCTACGACTTTTTATGGTTTGAACTACTGTATTAGTCCTGTTTGAATGAAGACATTAGTTTCCCTGTCATATTTTGAATTATGAAGTAGGTTTGCATTACTTTGTTTCACTCTTAGATAGATCCAGAATGCTGAAAGTGATGAGGACATCACTCGAGTCTTCATTTCCGACTATTTTTAAGTATTCGTTCGTAGCTTGATCCCGGGGAAGATTGTTTGCTGATTCAAGTGAAGGCAACTTCCTAGATACCGATCACATCATATATGCCTGGACTAAAGCTTATGTCTTGATGTTTAAATTTTGGTGTCGATGGTATAGGTAGAGAAGATCGAGAAGCTGAAAGAGCAAGGCGTGTACGAAAATCCAGAGCGGACTCAATATGAAGACCAAGGGGTAACTACACGCACTCGGAAGCGTCGCATCAGCAAGTACTAAATGCATTCTGTATTGCCGCTTTAATCGTAATCTACTGGAATTATTTTCAAGTTTTAGTGCAGACTTTTCTTCCATCTTGAGGTTGTTCCTAAGTTTTCCGCAACACAGGATAGTCATATCGTTCAGTGCTTGTGTAACAACCTTTTGTAAATGAATGTGCTTCCAACACATGAGAACCTTGCATTACGGACATATCACTGGTATTTTGTGTGGATTCGACGATACTGGTCATGTCGTCTGAGAACTGCAGCAGTGATTTTCTATTGATATTGGTAGGCTACTGTTATCAACTCCCATTTTAACCTGTTTTGATTGAACCTTTCAGAGAACAGCTTTTTTCTTTTGCTAACATGATATCCGAAGTAGAATACACACTATCTACGTTGTTTTGTACTTGAGCCCAATGATTGCAGGCTCCTATGTATCCGTACCAAAAATGATGCTGTATTTAATCTACACCTACATTCATAACGATCTCAATTAGTCATTGTAATAGTTTTTCACAGAGAGAGCCAGGGTTGTTGAAGAGGTGCAGAACATGAAGGAGTATCTTTCAAGTATGAAAGGGTGGGGGTGGAAGTCCCATTGTGAAGGGGCATAACCTGAAAGGGTAACAATTCCGAGGATGAAACACTAAAGACGCAGCTGAACAATCGGTCAACTTCAACGTTTCTTCGCTTAAGCTCGCATAGCGCACACCAAATTTATTTTCTGTTTTTATCCACATCGCAATCCTACAATTACTATGTTCATCTCTTGACATAAAATTTACAAGACCAGCTTGCGAGGGAGAAGCCAACGTAGCGAGGTATGAAGGCATTCAGCACAATGGATCTTACACGGCCCAGACATTACGTTATTCTCCCAGATTAGATCGCACATGTACTCCACGATGGAGCTCATCTACCGAAACCCGGAACGAAATTCGCAACGATCCCAAAGGAACACAGCTCGGGAGAGCCAGAGCTGTCACATTAGCCGTCGACAACAGCCTCAAAGGCAATCTCAAATTGCTCCATGCCAATCCCAAAATCAGTGCTCAGCTTGAGAGAGTTTATTGTGAGTGCAGATTGAGGGGAAGCCGGACGTGCACTATTAACTGCCCCTGTTCGACGAAGTGGAAGAGCTGTGGAATCGAGTGCGAGTGCCATGGTTTCTGCTGCAATAGCTTCTTCTATACGCCTCGATTGAGCATTCGCCTTGGAGAGGAGCTTTACACGAAGACTGATCTATCGCGGTACAGAATTGCCTTCGTGATTTGTGGTAGGATTATGACGGTGCCTGAATATTGGCGCTACCATGAGAAGATGATCCATCGAGCCGTGCGGCACTATGGGTTCTCTGTTTCGTGGCCAGGGTTCGCCCATGGCCTCCCTAGAAACCCTGATCTGGATAAATATGCAGTTGATCCCTTTGAAGATATGACGGGCGCTGTCAACCATAGCTGCGAACCGAACATTATCGTTGAAGCTTGGTAAACTGCATATCAACCGCAAAGCAAGTGTGTTTTGAGTGCAGTCCATTCTCTTATTTAGTTCAAAAGTTGAATGTATTGACAGGAATTCGTGTTAACTAATACTGTGCAGCTGGGTGAACGGAAAATTGTACGCTGTTGGGCGGGCGATACGTAACATCATGGCCAAAGAGGCGCTCACTGTCGATTACAAGTAAGTAAAAGTTCTTAGAGCATGTCTTTGTCGTTGCAGAGAATCTTTATGCTGTGGGTTCATCGCGGAGAAAGGCAGCAAGTTCATGAAACTGACCACTGTCCACTATGAGAGCAGCGTTTCGCTGCTGCAGGAACAGCATGCCATCACCGAGAAGGCGCTGCAGCAGCTCTATGAAGATCTCGCCGCAGCGGAGCTAGCGGGGGCCAATTCAGTGGAGCTTGAAATGCGGGTGATTCGGAAGGAGATTGAGAATGGGAAACTAAAAGCCAACATCGAGCTCATGATCACAGCCGTAGCACGATTAAGGGCTTCTCTTTCTGAAGCAACGACTGCAAATGATGGGAAGGTGTCCGAAGTGATGAAGTCCCTATGCTCTTCATTGGCAAAATTCGTTCGAAGAATTCGCACTCTCTTTTCTTGCAAGTCGAAAGGTGTCGATGAGGAGCTGGCGAAGGGCACGATTGAGAGTTGTGAGAGTTGTGAGACTAGTTCTGTGCTCATGCCCAGCGCCAGATCGGAGAACACTTCGAATTTCGATACTCCTCAGAGTCAGAGTGATCCTCCTCCCGCTTCCACAGTGCCTCAGGTACCAAGCTTGATGAAACCACCACGTCCAAGCTTCTTGTTTGGTTGATGTTACCCACAACCAGCTTGCCATCGAGAAAAAAAATAAACATGGGATTGAAAAGGTGCGTCAACATGGGGTTGAAAAGGTGTGTTTAGGGATGGGCGGAATCTCTACACGAGGCTTAGAGATTCTACTGTCCAACAGAGAGTTCGCGCCACGGAATTATGTGGCTCCAAAGCATACAAGCTATCGAAGCTCTTAAGAGCAGGTTTTTTGTATCTTAAGGATACCCTGTGCAGAGTCATGGTGGGAAAGCGTAGTACATGGTGATCAGATACTGTCATACTTGAAAGCAGAGATCTGAAGCTGAAACGTAGATATGGCTGGCTAATTTGAACGATTATCTGCTGCTCTCAAACGGCTACCGACTTCAGAGACACGAGCAAAGTGCATTGTGCACAAAACGGATGTAGTTGCCAAAAACCAGAGAAACTACACAATCTCTGGAGGGGAAATCTCTGCTGTGTTGATCCAGGCATGGCCTCAAAACTTGGTAAGCATCTCTTAACCTTGACATTGGCAGTGACGATTATCAGCTTCTGATTGTGATCTTGAAGAGGAATGAGACGAGGATGTAATAAGGCGATCAGTCTAGTTCAGGATTATTGCCATGATTTAACATCCTGATTTTGTGAGTATTCGGTTGTCGACACAGATATCTTCGCCCAACTGTGCAAGCTGGCAATCAAGCTCTCAAGGTTTCTGCTGTCGGCACAACCAATCCTCCTCTGAGGCAGTAGCCCTTGCATTTGACTACAAGCGAGCAATACATGACATGAATTGAAGTCATAAGTTCGGTGACCCACCAATGTGCAGTGTTGGCAAGGTTTGTGTTTGCTCAGATTGCTATGTTTCTCCACAAACTGGTTTCTCTTCGAAGGTTTTTTAATGCTTAATTCGACTCTTGTGCAACAATGACAAACGTGTAGTGGATCCATGTTGCAGATCATGGACTTGAAGTCATCTTTTTCACATGATTGTTGAGTTTTGGAGGTTCAAACTCTGCACAAACTGCACAAGCTTAGCCACTGGGTTACTACTGATTCCAATCCTCATGCTGGTGTTGCTGCATCCACAAGCCTTTTCTTCAAGCTTGAGAATAATACTTTGCCTGATGGCTTGAAATGTGAGGCATTAGGCCACAGTGTCAATCTAATTCAGCTTCCCTGGCCACTAATGGTTTCCATGAGTCTTAATGTGTGGACAGTGATGGATTATCAAGAGCTACATGTAACATGGAACTTAACTAACACTACATATATTAATAAAAGGGTAAAAATGATTTTATTGATTAATTTGTAACCCTTTTATATTCAGTAATTGCATGATATTTTATTATTAATTATTATTATTATTTTTTTAGAATTGGAGGACAAGTTGATTTGATGCTTCATCCATGGAAAAATTAATATACTATCTAAGTTCCTTTGTACATATAATTTTTAATTTTAGTACTCTATAGTTTTAAATATTGATTCATGTTTTATGCTATGATTCAAAATCAAATTTATCTATGCTTAAGAATCTGAACAAGTACATAAATTAAGGAATTTTGAGAAGTTTTACCAATACATGGTAAATTTTAAATATATTCATTAAATCTTTTACTAAAAAGTGAGTAAAGTGCACCATGTTATTGATAATTTTATATGTACAGTCTTGATCAGGTTAATTCATTATTAAAAAAGTTAATAATCTAAAATAAAAAATACTAACATAGTGAGTAATAGTTAAGTTACTAGTTAAATTACAAAACAATTATTGCCAGTTAATTTAATTTAATTTATATAATCAATCAATAATTCCATTCATGATAAAAGGTTTTCTGGACACTGGCAATAAATAAGTTGAAAACTCTTCCTATATTCATCAGTAATAAACTACAGTATTCTATTAAATGAGCGCCATCACTTCGCCAGTTTTCTTCATTCTTAGTCAACAAAATGTAAATCAAAATATATTCAAGCAGTCCATGTTTAGGTATCGAAGGGATTTAACGATGTCCTGTGTTGGATCATCAGCCACTAGTTAAATGTTTCAAACGTACTAAAATTATCGGTATCAGTTGAGTTTAGAGCCATCGTGCTGTGGTTGACTTGGATTTTTAGCAGAACGCATGTGTCATATAAGTTGCAAGCACACTTCTACAAATCATCCGCCTAAACGAAGACAAACAAAAAGGCAGCGGCTGCAATACATGATCCAATTCAACAGCTTTCCAAAGCAACAAAAAGACAACGAAACATGGAAAACCCACACTGCAAAATCAAGACAATTTCTAAGCAAGGACCTCGCTATCACAAACAGCATTTGTATCATATATATAAAACCAGTTCCATTTGCTCAATACAAAGGCCCTGATACCTTTCAAAGCACAGCCATTCTTGGCGTTTGTGTTTTAAGTTTGATCACATGAACGCCATGGAACACTTACCACGAAACTAAATGACTAAAATCCACCTTCAAAAGTTATTAGCAAACTTACTCTTAAACAAAGCGATGACAATCTATTGGTTTGCATCATCTTCGGTCCGGATATCCATAGCAGCACTGTTGTCTCCAGCTGTAGCTCCTTGTTGCAATTCTATAACAAGCCATCGTACTGCTTTGCTCATTTGCTCCAACCTCAGGGCACTCAAGGAAGGAATCGCCACCCTGTTGTCTGCCGCATCCTGACCTGGTTTTCCAACTTTTGCCGTCACAGAGCCTGTTGCTTCGTCCACCAAACACTCCGACCCTATTCTAAGTTGCAAGTACTCCTGCCAGGAAATGGTAATATCAGGCCTGACATTATAAACCCTAAACATGAGAGAACTCGAAGAAGCCAGGTTGGAATCACTTCAGTTGACAGAAACAAAAAGGAACTCAATCATGCACAAGAATGAGGGTACACGGAACACACCCAGAAGTTTAACAGTAGCGAAAAAGATGCAGAGCTGAGCTAGTGAAAAAATATTGATCAGTAAAGAATTTATCTAATTCTGCAAACATGATGAAGAAAATACCACAAACTCTTGAGTCTGATCACACGCAGCGTGGAACAACTGCAAGTTGTTGTAGAACTGCTCCAAAGCAGCATCTGTTTTCGCGGTCCTCCTTCAAAGTTTCAAAATTTCAGAACAACTGCCTACCCAGTATTTGTAGTACATACAAGCAAAATACGTGCAATACAATCCTGCCAGCACTTAATACCAATTATAGTTCTTGCTCTAAACAAACACAAGGAGCTTAGTTAAATTTTGAACAAGGCACGTATAAGAAAAAACTAAACCTAATCAAGTTTCAACTTTTAAGCCCAAACCACAAAGTAATGTTTGAAACAATTAGGGACTCGAGAAACGTGCACTTCACGAAAATAGTCACGTGATTGTTAAAATCCGAGCCGTGACGAAGTGCTTCAACACATGGTTACACCGCCAGATGTGGGAATGAGAATGCTTACGCGAGATCGGCAGTACCCTTCGCATCCAACACATCCGATGCCGCACTTATCAGAGCCTGCAAAAACAAAATAGTGCGCCGAATTTACAGCTTAACGATTACCCAAATTCGCCAAGGAACCCACAATTCCACTGGTGAAGAGGAAGGAAAGCATTCACACCTGGTACGCGTTCTGCAGGTTTTGAACTAGGTGGTCCATGTTGAGAAGTGAGCAAACGCCAATCGTCACCACGGAACAAACGAACTACTCTCGCCTCATCAGCAGGCGGCAGAAAGAGAACAAGACCAGGATGATGATGATGATGATGCTACACAAGTGGTAATCCTGGAGGCAAATGCAGACTCGATGCCCATTCCGACAAATTTACGGCATCCTGGGTCCACGGCGACACCTGCCCTGCGTATGTCGGCGGGTGATTCAAAGCGAGGAAACCCAAACCGCAGGAGCAAGTGCAGGTGCGAAGGGGAACCATAAAGAAGAAGAAGAAGAAGGGGTGGAGAAGGAATGTGGAGAATCCTGCAGACCTGCTTTGCTGCAATTTGCAAAGCAAGTGAGCAGCAGAAGAAGAAGATGAAGTAGCAGTAGAAGAGGAAGGGGCAGCATCGCCGCGATGCCTCTCTCTTCTCTATTCCCTTCCCTGTTCCTTTTGCTTCACTTTTCCTTCACTCTTTGCTTTGCTTGTGTTTGTGTTTTGTGGTCTCCACTCTTACATCTCATTTCATGTCCATCGTATTCCATTGTTTGTTATTCCATTGTTTTCTTGTTTGTATGTATGTATTTTTTTGATGTAATTATGTTATGTTGAAAATGAAATTATGCTGAATTTTTGTGAGATGAATTTCAATGTTTGTTTTTCTTCAAGGCAATTTTTACTTCAAAAATGTTTCTATTCAAATCCTATCAGAAGACATTTATATATATATATATATATATAGTTTTATTTTTAAATCTGATAAAGTATATATATAATTGTTCATATTTTTTTAGTTGATTTATATGTTATAAGCATGATCCTTTATTTTAATTATTTTTATAATACAAAAAATTATATGTTTTTAGAATATGTATATGCATATATATATATATATATATAAAAATTTATGACTATTATTTATTATTATTTAGTAATTGTTGAATTTTATTTTTAAAAAGTATTATAAATTGTTACACATATGTGAACAAACTATAATCACAAGCACTACTAACATTCTAAATCTTTTTAAAAAGATCATAGATATTTGTATAAATTCTTATGGATCTTTGGAAATCTTTGAAATCTTTCATAAAATTCCAAAATCTTCTATAATTAATTAAAGATTTCTTAGGATCTTTTTTAATATTATAAAAAAATTATATTTTCTTAAAACTTGTCCTTGTCTCTTAGAAGTTTCAAAAGAAAATTCTTTTTACTTCTATAATAATCCATAATTCTTAGAATCTCTCTTAAAAGTTTCTACATGAGCAAGTTAATAACATATAATTAAATTGATAAGATTAAAATTGATGCTTTCTTTTGCAATAGGATTTTGCATTGGTTTTTTGCTGTTCTAGAATTCTTTTTGGTTGTACTTTCATTGTTACATATAGCTCTCATAAACAATTTGTCAAATCTTTTGCTATAGGATTATCAAATTTTGAAAAGTTAAAGATATTAAGTTATAGATGATAACTATAATTAGCATAGAATCATGATTGTTGAATAGATGAATATATTATGTTATTTATGGCAAACTTTGTTAATAGCAAAAGAATTGACCAATCATCTTGGTAATAATTTATGATGCATTTCAAATATTGCTCAAAAACTTGATTCATTTCTTTTATTTGTCCATTAGTTTGAAGATGGAAAAACAAAGATAGTTTTATGTCCATCTTAAATAATTTTTCTTTAAATCTTGATATAAATTGAATCCATATATATATAATATAATATTCCTTGATAATCCATAATAGTAATAAATATTATCAAAGATAAGTTTAGTTATTTTTTCACATATAATACATTTTTTATATCGTACAAAATATGATATATCCATAAAAAAAATCTACTATCAAAATTATAGAATCATAAGAATATGAGATTAAAAAATCTGTAATAAAATCCATAGAAACAAAAGACCATGATTGTTCTAATATAGGTAATGGTTAAAAAAAGTCTATAAGATTAATGAAGAAGAGTTCTCAATCTTAAATAGATCTCACATGATTATACAAAGTATTTAATTGCCTTTTACATTTGAGACTATCAAAAATCTTTTTATATTAACTCCAAAGTCTTGTTGTATCTAAAATATCTTGTAATTGGGAAATTAAAACAAGCTTGAAGAACATGTAGTCGTGCTTTATCTTTTCAAACATATAAGCATCTCTCAAAATAAAGAAGATTGTTTTTAAATTCAAACTTCGAAGTATCATGAGATTTAGAAGAATTGTTTGTAATATCGTGAATAAAAACATTTGACGACATACTTGATTGGACTTGATCAAGAAGGTTGAATCAACATTTAACATTGATTTCATTATTTGAAGATAAAATTTCTTTGGCTTCAAAAGAATAGTTTGTTGTTGATCAAGATGTTTCTTTTGGCACAAGATAAGAATGTCTAAAAAAAACATCAAATAAACATTGTTATTTTCTTTGCTCACAAGTAATATTGAATATAAATTTTGATAAAAGAATGTTCTAATAAGCTTATTGATGATTCAAAATGCATATTAATATAATGCATTTGAGATTCTTCCAAATAATAGTGCTATTCTTTAAATAAATCCATAATTACAAAAAGTTCTTTGTTGTGGATGTTATAATTGATCTTGATTGTTGAAAATTTTCTTGAATAAAAATCTACATGGTGAAATTTTTCATTTGCTTCTATTTGTGACAATACCTTATCGAAGACAAAGTTCAATATATTTGTTTTTATTAAAAATACTTTAAAATTAAAAATATTTAAAAAAAGTTGATCTAATACAAGATTGGTGTAGAAGTAAAAAATATCTTTAAAACTTCAAATGTTATTTTAGCTTCTTTGATTTACTTAAGTTTGAGTTTACAAGTCAAATGTATAAGTGGAGCTATGACTTGAGAAAAATTCTTGATAAAGATTTCATAGTAATAATCAAATCTCACAAAATATTAGATATCTTTTAGTATTATTAAAAACTTCCAATTTATGATGGTAAGAACTTTCTTAAGATCCATCATAAGGCCATCATTTGAGATAATATATCTTAAAAAATTAACTTTAATTGTATTAAATATACACTTTTCTAACTTTACGTATAATCCTATATGTTTAAGTTTTTATGGCATACAATAAACATAAAATTTATGTTCTTTTATGTTCTTAAAATAGATTAAAATATTATTTAGATAGTAAATTACAAATTCATCTAAAAATTCTTACAAAACTTAATTAATAAGGTGTTCAAAAATAATTGGTGCATTTGTGAGTCTAAAAAGTATGATATTGTATTCAAAATTTTCATACATGATTCAAAATATAATCTTTCATTTATCTCTTTTATAATGATTATAATTTATAATTAATAAGCTTATTATCATTTTATATTAAATTGTAGATGGATCCAAATAGTAGTTGAGCTTTCTCTTGAAGGTTAATTGAACAATCATAAGAACAATGCTACTAAAAAATATTTGCATCTTTTTTTTCAAAAATATCTTAATAATCTTAATATTGGCTTAAAATATTACTTAAAGTCTTTTTATCATTAGAAATAGATATGGCATAAATAAAAAAAGATGATGTTTTTTTTGTTGCATGCATGAAAGCTCTTCCATCTACAAATGAAAATTTAGTTGCATTAGCCTTATGACTTTTTATTTGATTAAAAAATTCTTAATTATGCTTTGAAAAAAATAAAAATTATAGAAAATCTAATCTATCTAAGAATTATAATTTTTTAGTTATAATAAACCTAAAATAACTCTATATGAAGGAGTTTTAATTATATTCAATATTATTAAGCTATTATGATTATTTTTTGTTATATTTATAAAAAATATTTTATAAATAATATTTCTAAAAGATAATAAACAATCATTTGTGACTTCTATATGTAAAAATTTAGTTTTTTTATTAAAGATATTATATATCTTTTAACAAACTCTTCATCTAAAAAATATACTAAGACTCATAAATCTAATAAGACAAAGGTTTTGTGATATTTATATCATTAAAAAAACATATTTTGTAAAATAAGATAGAAGATCTGAGAAGAGAATATGACCTTTATTAGATATTGTACAAGATTTCAATCCTAAGATCCTTATTATAATTAAAAAAAACTTATTTTTTAACATATTATGTTTTTTGACAACCATACTTTTCATTTTATAATTGTATTTTTTTTTTGGACAATATTGAGCAGTATGCTCAAGTTTTCTACAATATAAACATAATCTATCTTAACAATATAAAGTTTTTTCTTGTTGAGTAAGAATTTCAAAATGTATTGCATCAATTTGTATGTCTTTTACTTCTAAATATATGTATTAAGAAGATGTTGATATTGCCATTGAATTGTAATAATGTTAAGACCTACTTAAACAATTTTTAAATCAAAATTCAAAAAGCCATTTATTACACTTCACAGAAAAGTTGATTACTTGACTTGATGGTTAAAAATCAAGTAATTACAACATCAATTTCTTTACTTCATATTATAAATTGTAGAAAAATTAATTGATGATTGCAACATCATTCTACTTGATATTAATTACAAGTTATCAAAATTATGAAGCATATAATGTTATTGATTAATTACTTTAAGAATATAAATCTTATTGATTGCAATAGAAATTGTATCATGTTTTTCATACATGGATTAAAATTTCACCAAAAAAATCTTTAAATTATCTAATATTAGATCATATTATTTTAAAAAAGATAAAAATCATAATAAAATAAAATTTAAAAGTAGTATTTTAATAAACTTTACTTATGATTTTAAAGTTGAATAGCCTTAAGATTGAAGTTCAATTACTAATTGTACTAAATTGATGAATTGTTAAAACTTTGATCTTATTCCATCAAACTTCTAATATAAGGCAGTTCTTGATTCTCTAATACTTGAATAAAGTTTGATCATAAGAGAAATAGTATGATTACATATAGATATTGAAGCAGCTCCAATCATCTCTATATTTTCACTTCTTATTAATTTTGTTGCTCTTTGTGGTAGTAAATTGAAAAAATACATTGCAAGCATTAGCTCGTTCATTTGTTTTTGTATTTTTGCTATTGCATTCTTCATTTCAAGAAATTTTTCCATGATAACATAATAAAAAAAATATGTCTAATATTACTTAATACAAATAGAAGAGAAGACTTGTAGATGAAAAAGCAAATAATCTACAACTTCTAATATATTAATTTAAAAATATTAATTTAATAGTAGATAATCTATAACTTCTAATATACTTATGTCTTATCAAAAAAGAAAAAATCTACTTTTAATTTATAAAAAAGTCAAAACCTTTAATATTATAAGTATATTTTATTAATCCATCAAAGATAAGTATTCAAAGAATATAAATAAATAAGTAAAATATTTTTAAAAGAAAGATGATAAAATATAT